GACTGTGGAATTATTTGTTATATTATTCTAACACACGAATATTATTAAGGAGAGAGAAAGTGCATAACAAACCAAAGTTCTAAAAGTATAGCAGAATGAGTAAAAAATTCTAAGAATAAATTTCAGTTTCATTTGTAGAATGCTTGCCCTGCACATGGGAGACCTTGGGTTCCATCTCATCCTGCAGAAGGTCCAAAAGTGGCCAGAAGGCAGTCTGGGTTCAGACATAGACCAGTCTCCCCTGAAGCTACCCTAAGATTAATGGAGGGTTAATCCCCCATGTGTCCCCCGAGCTTATTTTAGGGCCTGGTGCATAGAAATGTCTCGATGAACAGGTGGGGCAAATGCAAGGCACCCATAGCTATGAAAGGTGTCTGTGACAGATAAAGTAATTACAGCCCCTGGGTCAACACCCTGTTTGCCACACATTGGATATCTGTTAAACCTGAGTTGAAAACCCCAACATACTCTGAAATAGAATAATACACTCCCCTGAACAGAGCATTTTCAGCTGATGGCACCACTAAGAGCAACTCGATACAGTAACAGCTTCTGGCATGTGCAGCTCATTTTAACAGAAGCCAGTAAGACACAGAGAGAGCTGTCACGTCTGCTCCAGAAAGGAAAGCCACCCAGTCCGTGTTCTGCTTGCCAAATTAATTTCATCTGACATTTAATTTGTATCCTAAGGTATTGTGGACTTAAAACTTGACTGTGCTATCAAGGGACTGGAGAAATGTTCTATCCGACAAACTCAATTCCTCTAATTATTTTTATTATGAGTTAGGCTGTCTTAATACAGACATCTCCAAAATCAAATATACAGATCACCCCAAAATTACATTTCCCTTCCTCTCTCCTTTCCTTCAGTTTTTTTTTCTTTCTTTTTGGAATTTATTTGTTGACACAATCAATCATGTTGATACCATTGGAGTGTCCACTTGGGATCTTGACAACCTGAATAAAGAATTGAGCAAAATATGTGAAAATAACAGGCAGTGTTACAAAGATGGGGCCTTCCGAGCAACTGAGGCAGTGTGAAGGCTGCCCACTTCAAACTCCAATTCTTGCAATCAAGTCAGAAAGATTTCAGAGAAGTCCCTCAGAGTAATAGGAATGAGTTTATTGAAGGGATATAAAAAGGGAAAGAGGACATTCTCAAGGGAGAGAATGGGTCCCCTCAGAGAAGAGGACAGCATGTCTTTACTGCACTCAAGATTTATTGGGGATCCTAGAGAGGTTTCCAGAGAGTCTCACCCACGTCCACCTCTTGGCTTTTGACTGACAGCAAGATGATATCGGACTTTCAAGTCCCCATTGCCATGACAACTCCAGGTCACCTTGGCCCATGCTGACCAATTTTAATTGGATTCTTAACACCACATTCTTACAGATTTTATGGTTAGGAGGAACCTTACCTCCCGGAACTTCAAAAGTCTCCCCACTTCAGGTAACCTGGGTTCCTCTTACTGACATTATCTTGGGCCTGCATTTCTCCTGCAGGTAACTGGTAGTTTGCTGAAGAAAGTGAGATAGCCTGCCCACCTAAGCCAGGAAGGGCTTCAGGTAACTCATCTTGTGTAGCAGAAAGTGAAGAAATCATATAAGGGTGACGATGGATGTCAAGGGATAGGATAAGATCACTTTGGGGGTCAATAAGAATAATTACAATGAATTAAAATGCTTAAAATATATTTAAATCTATCAGTTTCTTGGAAAAAGAAAGAATGTGGGGTCAGCACAGTAGACCCATTTTATAGAATTATTTTTGTAACCTTGGGTTCCCACCATTCTCATTTGTGTGTTCCCTAAGAGCAGCACATAGATTTATGAAAAGTAAAATTAACACCCATAGAGTAGAGTGGAGTGGGCCTAGCTAGAGAGAATGGCTCAAGGCCCTGACGTCTGGACTAGTCTGGTCTTATATGCAGAGCTGTGCCACCTTCTGCTCTCCCTACAGACCTGATTGAAGACTTTGCTCCATTTGTTCCCATTGGTTACTTTATTTTCGCCTAACTAAAATGTAGAGCCTGTGCTGAGAGTTGCCACAGGCCATAGGCCCTCAGCAGCAGTCTTCATGGTAATGAGACTTTTGTAAACAGGGACAGGAAGACTCATCTCTGCATCTTGTACTCCAACAGCACTTTTCTTGTATCCTGCCTCTGTTATTTTGATGCTCCTAAGCTCCTACCTCAATATGTCATACAGCATTTTCCTTGGTCTAGAATGAGCTCTTTGCATCTCCATGGAATCATGTAACATGATCTTCTTTCCCATTGTGATTCGCTAGAAATTTGGCATTAGATCCAAAGTCTTGATCAAAATTGGATTCGTTTGTCCAGGATACTTCAGGGGCAATGAACAGCTATCGGTGATCATAACCTAGGTCCATTATTTCACTGGAGGATGCAAAACAATGATATCCTACGGTTTGCCTTCATTGATTAGTTGGAATACCTCTATAAAGAGACTTCCCTTCATCAGTGCTTGATGTCCCTGAAATACAGCTTCTTTAGGATGATTAAGACAAATGTTGATTTCTTTATTTGTTCTCTATCATTTTCAAAATAATAAGTTAGGTCTCTAGTGTCTTCAAAAGGTGACCAGCAAGGGTTGTTTCACGTTTGGTCTTATTTTTCTTTTTCAGCATCATTATAAACTGATAGATTTAAATCTATTTTAAGTGTTTCAACTCATTGTAATTATTCTTATTGACCCCAAAGTGATCTTATCCTATCCCTTGACATCCATGGTCACTCTTATATGATTTCTTCCCTTTCTGCTACACAACACGATCCAGGCTCAATTCAGATATTTTCTGCTCAGGTCTGGAATTTGCCAATCTCCAAAATGTTTCCAGTTTTCTAGGCATTTTCCTTTTGGTGAGAAATAGTATCTGAAAGTAGAACCTGGGTGCTCAGGGGTTCTTATTGCTATTGAGTAGTCCTTGTTTTGAGGCCTTTTAAAATAAAACAGGAAGGAAATATTTTTATTCTTCTTAAGATAAAGCCATTATGAACTCAGATTCAAGTTCAGGACTGAAGAATTTTGATTTTGCTTTACCTAAGGTACATCTACTTCCTTTTCTGCAATGCCAAAGCTCCAAGTTCCACAATTTTTCTTTTGTTTTATCTCATATATATGCGTGTGCTTTGGAATAACAATACCAACACTGACGCTGCCAATATGCTCATCAAACAACAACAGTAAAAAACCAAAAACTTTTTTCACAACTTCATGTCCTTAGAGTATAGAATATTCTCACAAAGAATGTATAATTAAATCATTGTGTTTTGAGGACATGAAAGACTTCTGTACTGAAAAGATGTAGTTACAAAGTTCTGGTTTTTATTTCTGCTCTCTACATACTATTCCCTCCCTCACAAGTAATATTTTTTTCTTTTTTTTAAACATTTTTTGGTATGTAATTCATTTTTAAAATAGAAGCAAAAATGTGTTTATATTTATACCACCCCAAATTTATTAGATGAATGATAGCATGCCATAAACACTTTCTTTGCTTTGCTTTTTTTCTCTTAACATATCCTAGAGATCATTCCACACCACTACATAGAGAGGTTCCTTATTCTTTTTTAAAGCTGCATAAAAGAATCTATGGTATGAATTTACTGAGGCTCATTTTACCAATCCATTATGTAGGAATATCTGTTTGCAATTTTTATTATCATAAACAGAACATCAATTATCTTATGCATGAATGTTTGATTTTTGGTATTTTTGCCAATATTCTATGGGATGGACTGTATCATTTGACCTTCACCTGAAAGAATAGAGTTGGTACTTCTTATGAGAAAATTCTTTCACTACTTCCTTTATTTCTACCATAGTAATTGATATATTTAAAATTCCTCTCCCACCAACGTCAGTTCTATTAGGTTGCATTTTTTTTTAGTAAATTATTCTGAAAAATTGTTCAGAAATGCTTCATCTGAGTTTACACATTTATTTACATAACTTCCAAAAAGTAGGTCTCTCGATTTTCTTTTAATTTCCTTTGCTATGCTCACATTTCCTTTTTGTCACTTCTAATTTTGTGTATTTATGCATTTCCCCCTTTTTATTTCTTTCTTACATTAGCAATTGTTTTGTTAATTTTATTTATTAATTTTTCCTTGTTAGTTTTCTTATAGTTATCTTGATTACTTTTTTGCTTTTGATTTTTGTCTTATTTTAAAATTCTTTATTTTCATTTTTATTAATATGAATATTTTATAGTATAAATTTTCTTCTATTACTATATCCCTCATAACAGAATTTGCAATTTCAACTTGGATTTCCTTTTTGAGCAAAAAGAGATTTTTACAAGAATGTTTTTGTAATTCTAGGTTTCAAAGGCCTTTAACATTTTTATTTTATTATTAGTTTTTAATAAATCATGTATTTTGTCCTTTAGAATTCTTGTTTTCTTCTAGTCCTAAGAAACAGAATGTTCCATGTGTTCTGGAAATGAAGGTCTGGAAGGCTGACCATGGGCCCCATCTTAATCCCTGGAATCTGTAAACGTGATTTTTTTTTAAGGAAAAAGGACCTGTAGAGATGTGATTAAGGATTTTCAGGTTTTCCAAATCACCCTTACATCACAATTAAAGTCCCCGTGAATGATGTTATAGGTTAGAAACTCTTAATGGACTGTGAACTCCTTACTATCAATCTTTCAAATTCAGACCCCTGAGCCAAACTACTCATTATATTCGAAGTCTCAGGCTGCCAAATGAAGTACCTAGTTAACTCTGGCAGCCAGGCCAGCAGCCTGCCACTCAGACGCCGGGAAAGACAGGCGACTGCAGCAACCCAAGCTCGGATCTGCTGCTCGCTCTACCTGGAGGCGAAACTCGGGAATGGAAATTGGCCATCACCGCTTCACCGGTCCCTCATCCCTCCCTAGACCCCGCCCCTTCGTTTGGCCACGCCTCTTGCGCTCAGGCACGCCCTCACGCTCTCCTGCGCGTTCAGCCAATCACCGGTGACGCTTGCCTTCCGTCTCCGCCAATGCAGGAGGCCTTTGCTGTCCTGGTTCCACCCTTCTCAAGAGCTGGGGCCGGAAGATGGCGGCGGCCGCGGAGTTGAAGCTGCTGGAGAAGTCCCTGGGGCTGAGTAAGGGAAATAAGTACAGTGCCCAGGGCGAGAGACAGGTGAGCTGCAGAGGCGACGCGGAGGGGAAGGAGCGGACTGGAGCGGGGCCTGCCGAACCTGGCGGGGCCGGGCCGGCGGGGTTGGGATGCAGCTCCGCCGCTCCCACGTGTCTGCGTTCGAGCCGCGGGTCGGCTGGTCCTCGTAGGCTTCTGCCACTCTAGGTCCTGGAGGGACGAAGGGGAACCTGCTCAGGACGGGCTCGGCCTGAGCTTTATCTCCATCGACATTCTCAGCATCCCATTCAGCCATCACGAAACCATTTGAGGGAAGGCACAAAAGACCTTTCGATGGAGCAAGGTGGAGGCCAGCGTTCGCCTTCACTGGCTGCTCTTGGCGAAACTGCATCTTTGGTTAATTGCGCAACCACTCCGTCAGCGCAAACGGGGACCCGGTGGTACTGCACTGGGCCTGGGGAATTCTGCGTTGAATAAAGGGGACACGCCCCCTCCCCTCTGGAAGCTTGCTGTTTGGCTGGGTGGACAAACTTGGCAGTGATTTAAATTATAGTAGCGGAAAGTGCTACTTTGACGCGGCTATGGCCAAGGGAACCTGTGCTGGGGGCTTGGCTGGCCCTGGAGGATTCAGGGAAGGCTTTTTTTTTTTGAGGCCTGTAATCCCCAATTCGGTTTGCTTTGTGCAGAGAATGAGGGAAAGTTACAGAGTGTGAGACTGACTAATGAAGCATAAAGACTCAGATTTCCCAGGGTATTGAAAAGAACATTTGTGTTTTATGAAGGTCATTGTTTGCCGAGGAGCGAATGTATTACAGCAAAAAAAGTGCTGTAGAACACTACTTTGATGCATTCTGATGTTTCTGGCCCCTTTGAGGTTTTTCCAGACTAGTGTGTTTTGGCCTTAACTTTTTCTTTCCTTGGTTGATGTTAAATCTTGTCTCAAAAGTAGCAATATTTTAGTTTTTACATTTAAAATAACTCGAAGCCTGGTGAGGTTGTGACTTGCCTAAGATGGGCCCTCTGATTGGTGGCAGATTAGGCTAGGCATTGGCCCTAAGGTGGCCTGTTTTTTCTTTTTCCTCCTCCTGGTACCAATTCCTTGTGGTCAGCCACTTTTCAATATTGGTTTATATTTTTTAGAAAACACTGGGAACACTTAAACCTTTGTCACCTAGTATGAGAAGCAGTCAACAACAATTAAATGAAAGCACAGCAGATATGTACTAGTGGAACAAAACATTAGTGAAAAATGTGGAAGAGCAAGTTAATTATGACTTGAAGATGGGTTTTTACTCTTCCTGGAAAAGCTGGTGTTTAAGGAATTAGGTTTTGAAAGATGTGTGAAAACACTAAATTACGAAAGATTGGAAAGTCTAGAGCAATAAGTAAAATCAGTATGGGGAGTGGGTGCAATGCAAGGTAAACCCAAAATCATAGTTGAGGTCCAACTGTGAGGGCTTTCCAGTTCAAAGTGTGGTATTTTATTTTATTTTGATTAAAAAATTTTAGCACTGGGTAGCTATTGAAAGTTTCTGTTTATGTGTTTAGGGAAAGGGCTGGGCATAGCAGATAAGTTTCAGCAATTTTTTTTGATTAAGCAACTGGCAGCAAATAAACCAGAATTAAAGCTCTCTGCCACATACCCAAAATAATTTAAAACTGAAAACAGCCTAGGGATTAAGCTGTAGAAGAATGGTTCATTAAATTATGGTACATCAGGGATAGATGTGTAGCTCAGTGGTAGAGTAATGTTGAGACCCTGAATTCTATCCCTACCATTCCCCACCCCCAGGCTCCCAAAATGTACATTACCACATTGGAATATTACTTATGCAGCCATTAAAAGTAATTGCTTTGAAGATCATGAACTGTAAGATTGATGTGAAAATAGTATATGTTCCATATTTGCAACTACATAAGACTAGCAGTTGTATACTTCAGGTTATATAAAGAGAATGGACTTCTGAGCCAGTGGTATTTTATTTGAACCCTGACTCTGCCTTTATAAACCAAGTGACCTTTGTTCTTGTTCTTTTTTTTTTTTTTTTTAATTCTAAATTGATTTTATTTGAAAATAGGTCTTAGGTAAATGAAATGCATGTCACTCTCAGAAGTTGGTAGTTGCAAAGGCATAATCTTTTCCAGAATCAGGGAATGACAAAAATCAAAATTTTCTGGGACCAAAAGAGTGAATTAAGAGAAAGTTTTGGCTGTGAGATGTATGAAATAGTGACAAACATCACTTCCAGATTTTGGTTGCTGATACTGGTGCCACCCACTGTGGTCAGTTCCCCCATTGTGGTGATTATAGACATTTTTCATGAGGGAGTTGCCACGATGGAAGGAGCCCAAATCTCTGGGCTACACTCCAGTCACTTCAGACCTCAGTAGACTTTGCTTAAGTCAGAAATGAGCTTATATTGGGCAAGGTAAGAGTTTAGGTTTTGTTACTGCTGTATAATCTAATTTACCTGGATTAGCACTGTTTGATTAATCTGTATAGATAATCTTGATCTTAAAAACAAAGACTATGGGAAAACCAGCTGCATGATATAGTGATTACTGAGAATTTGTAGTCATGATTGATGGTCTTTATTTTTTTTAATTTATCTGAAGAATTTTTTTTTTTTTAAGATTCCAGTTCTTCAAACAAACAATGGTCCAAGCCTAACAGGATTGACTACCATAGCAACTCATCTAGTCAAAGAAGCCAACAAGGAGTATTTGCTGGGGAGTACTGCAGAAGAAAAAGCAACAGTTCAGCAGTGGCTGGAGTACAGGGTCACTCGAGTAGACAGACAGTCCAGTAAAGAGGATATCCACACGCTGTTGAAGGTATTGTGATTTGTTGGAATGCGTGGACTGTAATAAGCTGAAATCTCTCCCCTTGGGTTCCAGACCTGGGAACAGGCTGCCTTTACCTGTTCTCTTTTGCTTCAAGGTATGCAGACCTCCAACTCTTGGCTGCATTTGCCTGTTGCCTTTTAGCTCAAGGTAGCTTGTACCTGTTGTGACCTCTGCCTGAGCAGGCTGTTCTGTCTCTAGTTGGGGAGGTGAATGGACTACAGTGTGCTTTTTCACCATACGAGCACAGGAAAAGGAAAGGGTTGTTGTGTTTTTGTTTTGTTTGCAACTGTGGTGTTTCAAGATAGTGTTGTTAATTTTAAAGGCAGTCAATATTTGTTACAGAAATTTAGGAAATATAAGTAAGCAAATGTAAAACATTTTAAACAACCATTGTCCCATGATCGAGAGTGAACTATTATTAATGCTTGCGTTCAGTCATCAGGTCTTTATTAAATCCTTTTTATGGTCTTCCCATGCATGCAAGCATGCGGGACTTTTTAAAAAAGCGGGCCATTATTGGACACAGCAACCTGCTGTGGCTTATGTTCGCTCTCCGAGTGTTGGGAACATTGTTTCATGTCCGTGTGTGCTCTTTCCTTTTGATAACCTGTATGTTCCAGCACAAAGTTGTACCACAGTTTAAATTATCTACCCCCAGGTAGTTATCAGCTTGTTGGTAGATAATTGAACATGTTCCTATTTGTTTCATAGGCTAAATTCCTACAAGGGAGGTTGCTAGAAGAAAAGCCTTGCCTTCTTTTTCTTCTTCCTGAAAGTTGCCATTATTTTTTTCTACCTTTTTTTTTTTAATTGGTACATTGTAGTTGTACATAATGGTGGGATTTGCTGTCACATATTCATACATGCACATAATATAATAATATAATTTGGCTAATATCACTCCCCAGCAATTCCCACCTTCTTCTCTATCTCCCACTTCTTGGTCTCTTTCTTCCACTGATCTTCCTTAGATTTTCATGAGACATCTTCCCTTACCTTTCTTTTCCTTTTTCCTCTGTAGCTTCCACATATGAGAGAAAAAATGATTCTTGATCTTCTGAATTTCTTATTTCACTTAACACAGTGGTCTCAACTTACATCCATTTTCTTGCAAATGACATAATTTCATTTTTCTTTATGACTGAATAAAACTCCATTGTGTACATATACCTCATTTTCTTTATCCATTTATCCACTGATGGACACTTAGGCTGGTTCCAGTTTAGCTATTGTGAATTGTGCTTCTATAAACATGGGTATGCATATTATCTGACTTTAATTCTTTAGGATAAATACTGAGGAGTGGTGTAGCTGGGTCATATGGTGGTTCCATGCCTCGTCTTTTTTGAGGAAACTCCATACTGATTTTCATAGTGGTTGTACTAATTTACAATCCCACCAACAGTGTAAAGATGTTCCTTTTTCTCCACATCCTCTCCAGCATTTTTTGTTGTTTGTATTCTTGATAATTGCCATTCTTACTGCTGTGATATAAATAGTGTAGGTTTGATTTGCCTTTCTGTAGTTGCTAATGATGCTGAACATTTTCTTGTATATTTGTTGACTATTTGTATTTATTTTTTTGAGAAGTGTCTATTTAATTAATTGGCCCTTTATTAATTGGGTTGTTTTTTGAGTTATTTATATATTCTAGATATTAATCCTTTGTCAGCTAGCAACGTTATTGTTCCTTGCTGTAGGTTCTCTCTTCAGATTCTAAATTGTTTACTTTGCTGCGCAGAAGCTTTTTAATTTGATGCCATTCCATTTATTAACTCTTGGCATTATTTCCTGAGCTTTAGGGGGTCATATTGAGAAAGTTGTTGCCTGTGCCTATATGTTGGAGTGTCGACCCTGTATTTTCTCCCAGGAGTTGCATAATTTCTGATCTAATTCCTAGGTTTTAGTTCCATTTTGACTTGCTTTTTGTGCAGGATAAGAATTAAGGGTCTAGTCTTTTTCTTCAACATATGTATATCCAGTTTTCCCCTATTTGCTTACCAAAAAAAAAGAAAAAGAAAAAGATCTTTTTTAAGGCTACATGGTTCCTGTGGACTCCAGAACAGTGTAATCTTACAATATGTCAGTATATGAAGTGGCCTCTTCCACAAAACAACATCGGTATTTTCCTTTTTCTCCATCACCTCCCCAATTACATTACTAAAACAAGCAAGCCAAAAAATGATTTCCCTGTTGACATTGTGTTCTTTGTTTTCATAAGACTTTGTTGTGGCATTTTTTCATAATGCTCATGAACCATTTTTATTTCTAAAAGTTTACTTGTATGTATTCTTTAACCATGTTTGTACTGGGCTACCTTATTATTTAATTTTTAAATCTTTTGCTCTTTGGATATTAAGAAAAGATTTAATTCTTAATTGTCAAATTTCCATTTTGGTGCTAAAACCACAGCTCTTAAGAGTAAATGCCTTATAAGTAAGGTAATATTTTTTTTTAAAAAAAATTGTGAAATACTAACATTGTTTGACTCTAGATGAATGATACATATAGTTGTCTATTGTGTTTTTTCAACTTTCGATTGTATGATGTTTAAAAGTTTAATAATAGCTGGGAAGAAAAGAAAAATCAGTTGGATTTCTAGAGGAAATATTTTAGCAGGTTTGGCAATAGCATCAGAAAGACTTGTTTTTAAAAATGAAGAAATGTTAGACATTTCCCTTCTTTGACTATTTCAAGTGTGAAATTCTGTTTGATAGGAAACCTTTTATGTCACTAATCAGGAAAGTATTTCCTATTCATAGTTTATGAAAACTACATTTAAGACTATCTTCATAGCTAAAATATATTTATGAATTCTGATTTTAGTCACAAAAAATAGTTTTTGATGTTCAAAGTTCAATCTTATATCCAATGACAAAAAGGTAAAAAAGCTACCCACACTGGGAGAAAATATCTGAAAATTATGTATCTGATAAGTTGTGAATATTTAGTATACAAAAAAAACCAACTCAACAAAAAACTAATAACTTGATTTTAAAATGTGCAAAAGACTTGAGTAAACATTTCCAAAGACTATATGCTAATGCTAATAAGTATTTGAAAAGATGCTGAAATTATAATCACTGATTGAAGTGAAGATCAACTCACAATAAGATACCATCTTCCATTCATTAGGATGGCTGCCACCCACCAAAACAAATCCATTAAAAAAAAGCCAGAAAATAACAAGGGTTGGCAAAGATGTGAAAAATTGTAACTGATACACTGTCGGTGAGAATATTAAAAAAAAAAAAATGCAGCTGTTAGCAAAAAAACAGGACAGCACTTACTCAAGACATTCATAGAGTTGCTCTGTGATCTAGCAATCCCGCTTCTTGGTTTATACCCAGAAGAATTCAGCATTGCCTTGAAGAGAGATTTACACTTGCATTCATAGCAGCATTGTTCAAACAGCTAGGGCAGGGTAGACAACCCATGTGTCTGTTGTGTCAATAGACAAACAAAATATGGTGTATACATACATGTATACTTCAGCCATTTAAAAAGAAGACAGTTTTGATGCATGTTATAACATGGATGAACTTTGACATTGTACAAGTGAAATAAAGCCAGTCACAGAAGTATAACTACCCCATGACTCCACTTATGAGGTATCTGGGGTAGTTGGTCACAGAACAAAGTTGAATGGTGGTTGCCAGGCTTGGAGGGGAGAGTAATGGAGAATTGTTTAATGGGTCATAGAGTTCTAGTTTTGCAAGGTGAAAAAGTTTGTAGATTGGTTATGTAGCAGTGTAAACAACTGTAAACCCTACTGAAGTGTATGCTTAAAAATAGTTGGTAAATTTTGTGTTATATGTAATGTATTCCAATTAAAGTTTTAAAAATGTATGTGTATGCATAAAGTACACATACATATACACAAATGTACTGCAAAACCCAGTAACTTGGAATTCTCAACTTTTTTTTTTTGTACTGGGGATTGAGCTATATCCCCAACTCTTTTTTAATTTAAATTTAGGATTAAACTCAAGGGCACTTCATCTCTGAGCTGCTGGCTGAGCGATTTCCCCCATTCTTTTTTCAGATTTTTTATTTTGAGACAGGATCTCTGTAGTCTGCTGAGGGTCTCACTAAATTGTCAAGGCTGACCTTGAACCTGGGATCCTCCTTGCTCAAATTCCTGGGTTTCCTGATTGCAGGTGTGGGCCACCATGCATGGCCATTCTTAGCCCTTTTTATTTATACGTTGAGGCAGGTCTTGCTAAGTTGCCCAGGCTGACCTCGAATTTTTGAACCCCTTATCTTAGCCTCCCAAATTATTGGGGTTGCATCTTAAACCACTATGCCCAGCAAAAAGGTAGAAATTGTTCAGAAGTCTATCATTTTCTAATGTTTTTTAAATATTCTTTCATTTTTTAATGTTCTTTAAAATCAAACAAGATTAATAATGTTCATTCTGTGTTTTTAAATGAGGTGACTGGAGTCTAATTGTGATTTTGAATGAATTTTTTTTCTTAATATCGAAGATTAATTTTAACTTATTAATTTATTGAATTTATTAATAAATAAATAAATTTATCAATCAGTGACATAGCATTTGTTTCATTTGCATGTGCAAAGCCCTGAGTTCCTTCCCCACCACTGAAAGAATAAATGAATGAATGAGTAAATTTATTAAATATCAGTATTTAATTTCTGATAGCCATCTAAATGTTTTCAAGTTAATACTGTTCATTAATGTTTTACTGTTTTTTTTCTAGGATCTGAATTTGTATCTTGAAGATAAAGTCTACCTTACAGGATATAACTTTACTTTAGCAGATATTCTACTGTACTATGGACTTCATCGCTTTATAGTGAGTATCTGGATACTTTCTGGTTTATTTTCTGTAAAGTTCAGAATATTTTTTGAGATTTGTCTTAAATTTAATCAGATTTGTATTTTCAACTATCAAATAAAAATGAAAGGAGTTTTTTTTTTTTTAATACAAGGTGTGCTGTACAAAAATTTTCCTTTTACAGAGACAGAAACTAGCTTAGGAATTTTGAGTGATTTGTCAAAGGCACAGAACTCATTTTTTGAAGGGCCAAGACAAACCTCAGTCTCCTGAATCAAGTATCTTCTTAGTGTGTGGGGAAACTCTTTGTAAACTAAAGGAGACTGTAATAATGTATGATACAGTTATATTCAGCCCCCTACTTCTGCAGGTTCCATGTCTGCAGATTCAACAAACTGCAGATTGAAAAGGCTCTTTTAAAAAATGGCATCTGTACTTAACTTGTACTGACTTTTTCTGGTGTTCATTCCCCAATCTAGTATCATATGTAGCATCTATACTGTATTGAGTGCATTACTAACCTAGAGGTGATTTAAAGGACACCAGGAGGGTTGTGTGGAGTCTATACTTAACCTGTACTGTGTTATGTGAAACTGTGGATTTCGGTGTCCTGGAACCAGTCCCCTGCAGATACCAGTAGACTACTGTATTCTTAATCTCCCTACTCAATCTATAATCCCATAATTTGGATTTACTTCACCTTATTAAAAATTGTTCCTCAAACATTCCTAAGTAATTGTATTCTATAATAGTATTATTTCAATAGGCTAGTTTGATCCTTAATTTAGCATAAAACTCCCTGTTGTTATGATTGTATTTAAATTATTTCCTGAGAGCCTACTGTGTGCCCACCAGAGAGGGATATTAAAAAAAACCTATAAACTCAATTTTCAAGGAATTATTAATCTCATTGAAAAAATAAGACTTTTACATGAAAACAGTTAATTAGAGAAAACAGAATCTAGTGATAACTCCTGATCAGAATATAATTTGATCATTTAAAGAGACAAGTAAAGTAGGATGAAGAATCATAAAGAATACATTCAGAGTTTGGATAACCATGACTATCCAGAGGAATTTTCACTGTTTAGAAAGCATATAAGTTGGACTGTAAATATTGCTTGTAAGTAGTACGACCATATGATTTTTCATCCAAAACACTTGGGCCATGAAAGAAAGCCTACCAGTCACTACGCAGGATTACAGTCACTAGCAGGAATGAAATGGGATGAACAGTCCCCATACTTACAAGGAATATGGCTCAATTTTAAGCAAAATAGGAGACCAGGGAGGATCCTGTCGTTTCTCTTTGTGCCCCTCCTGGCTTTTGGCCCAGTTCCTTGTACAGCTCTGGGCTTTTGAGATTAGCAATATTTCACAGTCTGTATCTATTTGTAAAGTATTTTAGGTTGTATATCTGTAGTGAAATGTAATCTTTAGTTATGTTCTTCAGTATCACTAAATCATAGTAATTTTATTTGAATGTGAAGAAAATGTAGTTGGAGCTGAAATACATTGATCACACCAGCCTCTTTTTATTCCGTTCTAGGTTCAATATATTTTAGTAGCTTTTTGAATTTAGAATGATGACATGGCACCTACCTCATTTCAAAACGGAAAAAAAAGCCTCCAAGGTAAAGAGGATTTGCTGTGAAGTATCTAAGCATCTCTCTCCTGGTGGCAAACCTAGTCTTTCAGCTTGGGGAGTCCAGAACTTGGCTTGAGCGAGCCTGTGCTACTGACTGTGGTTACTTTAAAAGCTTAATCTTAGGAAAAATTGTGGTGACTGCCAGCAGCTAGTGAGCATCTATCAGGACTCAGGGTCTGGCTTCCTGCAGCACTGAGCTGTCATTAAAGAGGAGAACGTGTCTCATGTAATTAAAAAAATAAATAGATGAGAATGAGGTGTAACTCTTGCAAACCAAGTATATATTTATACACATACTCTTCCTGTCTACTGGCTTATGCAGGTCATGTGGCAGGAAAAGTGTGGGAGACCAACCTTGCACGTGACTGAGTCACACTCCCCTGCTGGGTACTGAGGTGCTCAGTCACAGAAATGTGGCAGAGCTTTCCCCACCCTTCTTGGGTTTTAGGGTCAGTGTCTCATGCATGGGTGTGTCTTGCTACAGCTACGCTCACCTGTTCCTTTGTAATATAACCCCTTACCCTGTTTAGGATAGAATCTTCCATGGAAGTGCATTGTGTGTGTCCCCTGCTCTTACTGTACCTTTGAGTGTGGCCTACCCAAATGTCAGTCAACCTGACAGTGGACATCATGAAGATAGACTCAGCCCCCTCAAACCTGACCCCTGGCCTCATTTGAAAAGCTTCTCCTCAATAAAAGGGGTCAGCGCGTGCTCTCTCTCTCTTCCTGCAGACCCTTAAGGTCAGAGAAGCCATCACAGTGACCCCAAAGAAAAAGGTATTTGTGTCTCTTGTGTGGATATTTTGCGCAGCCCAGTTAGCCCAGTTTTCCTGGAGTGACCCCTGAGCCTTTTAGTCACGAGAACAGAACCCCGGCAGGAAAGGAAGGGCTCTGAAAGGGCAGCAGCTTGCATGGCCTTTCTTTGCCAGTAAAGTAAACACCGTCAGAATCCCAGAATGCAAAATATTCTTAGGCCCAGCAGCAAAGTTATTTAATTATGAGTCTGAGTGCCCTGGAGGGCATTGGGTTTTCAGACAGGTTAGGAGTGTTTCCTCTAGTTCTGCATATTGATTGACATTGGGGTTACTTTAGCTATATTTTAACCATCTGTACTTATTTATATTTCTTATTTTTGGATGCACATCCTTTTTATATATGGTGTTGAGGATTTATGATTAAAGATGTTATGCCCTTTCAAAATGACTTTGAGTGGAATACTACCTATGTCATCCTGCTGACCATCTCTTTGGGTTCAAACCGTGGGTCCCAGCATCTCTCTCACCACAGTCCAAGTATAGGCAGAATACTCCGAGATCTAAAGACCTTCTTAAAGAACAGGCCTCACAGACTAAAATCTACACACAACAGGATTGCTGTGTGGTGTTGAATAACATCCCTGTTAAATTGGGCATAAATATACACAGGTGAGAAAAAAAGTGATTGCTAGGTATTAATTCAGAGAGATACAAAGTCTGGATTGGCCACCTGCTCATAGTCATCAGGTTCTTCAGCTTTGTTTGCTTTGGCAGTATATATATTTTTGCCCTTACTTATTGTGCCTGTATCGTAAAATAGATCATGTAATTGAAATTGTTGGTGTAGATTAGAAAATGTGCCTTATTTTTTCACATTGTTAAATCTTGATACGTAATCAGCATAGTGTACAAAACAGCAGTCATCAGTGATACCTCTGTATTTTGTTTCATTGTGAGCCCAGTCTTGGTTGGCTGAGATACTCCAAGATCTGATCTGTCCTAATCCCTCTGAGGAATATTATATTGTGCCTTCTTTGTTTCAGTGTCCCTCATTGTGGCTGTTGATAACACCAGTGACTCACTGCTTTCTTCCAGTGATCTCACCAGTAGATAGTAGTCCCTGTGGACAGACTGTTAATAAGATGATTGAAATCCTTTGTAATGTTCTGTGCTGCTTGACTATAAGATTGTTATCAGCTGAAGTACATTTCTTCCGAAGTTTGGAACACGAGCAGAGTATATGATTCTTTAAAAGAAAAGTAAAATAGCTACAAAATAGTCTAGGAACACCGGCCCTAAAGAATGTCCCAAAGGCCTCCTGGTGCCAGTTGGAGGGGAGCAGATCAGTCTTGCACACTGATCTGGAAGGGTTCACTTCAAGTGTGTCTTACATGTCTTCATGGAAAATTAGTGATTCAGAATATTATCTGTTTGGCTGTAAGGTTTAAAGTAATTAGAGTGCCAGTATAAACAGAGAGGAAGAGCAGGGAGAAGGAGCCAGGCACAGCTAGACACACTGATATGTAGACCAGCACGAAGCAGGAAATTGTTCTAGGTAACTAGAACAATTGCATGCTGTTTCCTGTTATAAGAAAGGAAAAAATTGTTAGCTAAAGAGGGGTAACAGAAAATCAAAGTGAAGCAGCCCAGGGGATTCCATCAAAAATGTTCTAAAAAAAAAGTACATTTGGAAAGGGAAAGTTGTTTTGTTTGTTTGTTTACAGTAATTGCATATGTAAAATGTCTGCCCAAGGAGGAGAGGTAACTGATTGAGGTTGATCATCATTTTCTCAGACTAGCAGGGACAAGTTCCAAAGTTTAAAAGAAAGTTAAAGTGGAACCCTGATCCTTTCAGAAAAGCTCTGTGTATCTAGCATAACTTTGTGAGGAAAAATGAGTAAATTTACACTCCTTAAAGTAAATCAACTAAAAATATCGTAAAATAGATCATGTAATTGAAATTGTTAGTGTAGATTAGAAAATGTTACAAGCTTTCGAAGGTCTTAGAATAAAAATTACTTTGTGTGGGTGTGTTTATAGTCCTTACATTAGAGACTCTGTAAGGTTTTTTTGTTTTTTGTTTTTGTTGTGTGTGGGTTGTTTTTTTTTTTTATGGTGGTGGTGCTGGCAATTGAACTCAGGGCCTTGTGCATGTGAGGCAAGCACTCTACCAACTGAGTTATATCTCCAGCCCCATTAGAGACTCTGAATATGAAATTTTTAAGTTGGAGAATATTTATTTTGCTGCGTATTGAATGTTGTTCTCGTTTTAAATAATAGGTCTGCTAGCAACATATGCCAGTATTCTGTTTAAGCAAATGTCATTCTAAAATATTACTATTCGCTGTCTATTGCCCTTTTCACTTGGTTCAAAATCTAGGTGCACAATTTGAACATAAATCAAACAATTATTAGAACTTTATTGGCAATGCTTTACTCTCTGTGTATTTTAGTACACAGAATACTAAAAAAATAGCATCTCACAAAATGGCTACATGGAGACTTTAAAATGAAAAAGCTCTGAACTAAAATTTAAAGAAGTCAGAATTCAGCCGACTGATTCGAAGTCGAAATGCAGTAAAAGTTACTTCTGTTTGCTTCAACTATCAGCCAAAGAAGTTTGCTAAAGTTGATTTTAAATTCTATTCATCTGTTCCCCCTCCCCTGTGGGTTGAGCCATTCATCCTTCCTTCCCCCCAAGATGGACTCTTGCTGTGTTCCCTGGGCTGGCCTCCAGCTCTCAATCCTATTGCCTCTGTCTCCTGACTGGCTGGGTTTATACCAGGCTTGCATCACTGTGCCTGGCTCATTCATTCAGTTTCTTGTAAGAAAACTCAGACCCATATCCTGTTAGATTTAGATTTGCAGCTGTGTTTTCTACTGATTAAGGTTTTTATTTATTTGAAGTCTCTGGTAAAATTTACATGTCATAAAGCTTTGGATAAGGACTAAAAATTTAGCTCTTTACAAAATAGTTTTTAAAATATTTCAAAATACAGACTAACACTCAAGATTGTTCCACACATGATTGCCTAAGTGCCTTCTATAAAAATGCACCAGGCAGGTGTTTTCTTTTGACTTGAACATGAATTCTATTTTAATAAAAATTAACTTTTATATTAAAAAAAAGATATCCTTGACCAGACTTCTTGACTAATATGTTAGCTTTTTGTTTTTGGGTCATGGACTTACTACTATATTGTTGATGAAACATGTATAGTAACATCTCCTTAGTGTCAGGGCACCTCAAGCAAGATGAACAGACTTTTATAATTTGCTACAGCCACCTGTGTGTAGGACTTCAGTGTGTATTGCTGAAACCTGAAACTCACTTGAAGTAAGCTGAGCCACAAATGAGTTCAGTTACTCGTTTATTGAAAAAATACTACCTTTTTATTGTTAATATTAATTTGCATTCTGTAATAAGTTTTGAATAGTGAAGTGATTTGTATTTCAATTTTATTGGTTCAGTCACTTAGCAAAACATTTACTTGCAGCATAAGTATATGCTAAATTGTGAAAAGCCACAGGACTCTATCTTACTAAAAGTATCTCCAATAATAGAACCTCTGATGGGTTTGACTCCCTCTTGTCTTGACTGGGTTTTTTGTTTGTTCATTTTCTTTGCGCTGTGGAGATTTTGGAATATCTGTTAAATAAATGTTGAATCAACAAAGGAGAAGGAATCATACTACCAGTGCATACTACCACCCTGCTGGCTTTCTTTTTACCTGATGACTCTTAATAATTCCAAACTTTGTCTTAGAAGAGTCCTAAGAGTTATCTACTTTGAATTTGAGTCTAGTGGAATGATAGGCACCTATAGTTTTCATTGCATCTTTCTATAGCCACATCTCTGGGTACTCATAGCTTGAGAGTAACAGGTGTGAACTGCTACATCCACAAGAGTTCAGCTTTATTGCAGACAAAATGCAGAAGGTATGTTGTTCTTGTGTTTTTACTTGGTGTCTTTCTCTAATTCTTCTGTTAAACAATAATCTCTTGAAATTAAGTGGGTCATTGTCTTGAGTGAGGTTTTTCCTCAGCTGAGTAGTGAGGCGGTAATATTATACATTATACAGCCATTTTAATGTGTGTGAATATATGATTGTTTTCTTTAACACAATGTTCGCTTGTTAAACATGTTGATATTTGTGAACCTCTCCATCTTTTGAGTTTTACTGAAAAAATGTTGGAGAAAGAATTATGTCTTAGTGTTTCAGAAGCTGTTATCTTCCCTGTCCCATCTTCTTTTCCAGTAAAGTAAAAAACTTTGGGTGCCTCCCAGCCCTGGATTCATATAAATTTTGCATTTGTGGAATATGTGATATTTCATTAGAAAGCACATCTGGTTTTGAACTAAACATAAACACATTTAATAAATGGATAGCTTTCCCAAGTGGCTAAATACATTAGATTTTGAGGGAGAACTCTTGTTTTTTTTCTGACATTTTTTTTTCTTCTTTCTAATTTCTAAGAAGTATCTCATGATATTGATAGCTGTGCTTATGGCTGTATTATGTATGTGTGTTTTTAATCCTACTTAGGTTGACCTGACAGTTCAAGAAAAGGAGAAATATCTCAATGTGTCTCGCTGGTTTTGTCACATTCAGCATTACCCAGGCGTCAGGCAACATCTGTCTAGTGTTGTCTTCATCAAGAACAGACTATACACTAACTCCCACTAGAAGTCACCATGCCACACACGGCGTGATTAAAATGTTTTAAATGGAAAGTGCGTCTGGACCATAGTACTAATGTAAATTGATATGCTGTCATTGTTTATTTGTTGAAGTTGGTAGAATTTTTGAAGTATAAACCTGTGTCTGAATGTTTTATTTGTTCTTTAGTTGAAGTTTTGCAAATTTTTATGTAAAAAAATTCAACTGCTGTCCAAAAAAAAAGGTGAAATCAAGTTATAAATTACCTGGTTTTTAAAAGATCAAATTTATTTTAATAAAGTTG